GACAATTTTATAGAGAGTCATAGATAAAAGCGTGTCTCATAACGAATAATTCGTTATTTAGGGGTGCTGAAATAATGCTCGGTGCAGGTAGTAATGCTCGGCCTGGACTGACGAACTGAGTATATAAAACCTTGAAACTTAACAGGAAACTTTTTTATTTTTAAATGAGTAATGGCTGGTAAGTTGTGAAAGAGTCTTTGAGGTCAGACATTCCAACCCAAGTCCTAGGTTGATCAGAGACCTTGGATAAATTATTCTCTGGGGATAACAGTTTCCATAACTCACGGATAAGTTCACATTCAGGGCCGTTGCGGAGGTTAGATGAATAAGAGCAACAAACTGCGTCACAAACCATAAGTGATAATGCATCATCTTGAACATTCCTGATAAAGTGCTGAAGGACAGAAGCACATGTTGCAAACAAGCTAAACATAGTAAAAGATTACTTGAATATTCAAGCTGGGGTTGGAAACAGAGCTAAGAGGTTAAGAATACCGTTGCTCTTGCAGAGAACCTGGGTTCAGTTCCCAGTAACCACAGAGCAGCTCACAACTGTCTGTAACTCTAGTTCCAGGAGATCCAAAGCCCTCTTCTCGCCTCCTCTGGCACCAGGCATGCACATGTATGCATATATTTAGGCAAACACATTTGGGAGGAGAAGGAGTATTCCTCAAGAAGCTGAAGATGTGGCTCAGCAGTTAAGAGCACTTCCAGCACTTGTAGAGGACCTCAGTTTGTTTCCCAGCACCCACTGCAGTTGGCTCTCGACTGCCAATAACTCAAAACTCCACAGGAATCCACCGCCCTCTGCTGGCCTCCACAGGCACCTGTATACATCTTAAAAAAAAAAAATCAGTCTCAAGTCTCAACTTATCTCCTCAAACATTTATCTTTTTTGTTGTTGTCGTCGTCGTTTTGATTTGGTTTGGTTTATTTGAGACAAGGTTTCTCTGTGTAGTTTTGGAGCCTGTCCTGGAACTCACTCTGTGGATCAGGCTGGCCTCAAACTCACAGAGATCTGCCTGCCTCTGCCTTCCAAGTGCTGGGATTAAAGGCGTGCACCACTACTGCCCAGCTACATTTATCATTCTTATGATGTGAACTGTAAAACTCCATCTAGCTTTTTGAAATGTACAGTGGGTTGTTACCTACTGTTATCTCACTGTGGAACAGCACACCAAGCCTGACTTAAACATCACAGTATGCATCCTTATGTACACATGTGTGTGCAAATATACATACATAAAACCATCACATGAAATCCCATTAGTACTTATGGTTTTCTGTGTTTGTTAAAATTATAAAGAACAGAAATTTGGGCTTTGGAGAGATGGCTCAGCAGTCAAGACTGAATGCTGCTCTTACAGTGGACCTCAGTTTGGTTCCCAGTACCCACGCTGGGCAGCTCACAACAGCCTCTAATATCAGTTCTAAGGGATTAAATGCCCTCTTCTGGCCTCTGTATACAGAAAGAGAGAGAGAGAGAAACACACATCTACACATAAATTTTTAAAAATGGAAAATAAAACAAAAGCAGAAATCTATTGTCTCATAGGTTTGGAGACTGGGTAGTCCAAAATCGAGATGGCAGTAGGTTCGGTGTGCAGTAGGAGCCCGGTCCTCTGCTTCCAAGACAGCACTTTGTTACTGTGTCCTCCCATGAAAGAAAGGATTAAAGCAAAAAGGCCTACCTAATTCTATTAGCCCTTTTATGGACGTAAAGCCGCTATCCTATTCCCTGACCAGCCTTGGGTTGGCAATTAACTTTCAACATAGATCTTGGAAGGAACACATTCAAAACACAGCACTTTCCTCGGCCCATCTTTCCCATGAAGTCAATCCTGTTCCTCCCAACAGATGAGCTTATCTAGCACAGAGAATACATTTGGCAACACCTTTGTTGGGAGCTGTGCCAGGAACTTCCACAGTGTTTAGCTCAGTCATGTATGCTGGAGACATGCTAGTGAGCAAAACAATCCCTGCTCTTATTTTAGAGATGAGACCACTAGGGCCCACTGTAGTAGCAGGTGTTCTTGGTCCTAAGTCCAGGGCCTAAGTAAAAGAAACTAGAATTTTATTAGTCTTATGGTTTTTAACTTTATTTTCAATAGTAAACACAAAATTCTACATGAGCCATACAACATTACCTAAGCACAAAAGGGTTTGAGAGAGAGAGAGAGAGAGAGAGAGAGAGAGAGAGAGAGAGAGAGAGTTGCTAGAGTTCAGACTTCAACCTGTGCATGCTAGGCAAATGCTCTGTTGCTAAATAAATTTCATTACAAAAAACTACCTTGCCATCCCAAGGTGATTTCAAACCCAAATAGCTGATAATATCGATGAGTGAATTCCATACATTAAATAATATGTAACTTGTATTAAATAAATGCCTTAGTGTCCACAACCTGTGTTGTTTCTAATGCTTATTTATCTCTGATGTTTCTTTTTTATTTTTGATATTATAACATAATTATGTCTCCCTTTCCTTTCCTTCCTCCAAACTGTCCTGTATGAACTTCGATATGTATATGGAAAATATATATATATATAACATAATTCTTTGTTGATTCTTTGGAAATTTCACATCATGCACCCCAATCCTACTCACCTCCCAGTTCCTCCATATCAGCCCCTCAACCCAAAAGAACCCCCCAAAATTAATTTTTTAAAAAAGCACCTTGCTCCTCCATCTTTCCCACCTGTCCAGCACCTCTTCATTCTCTCTGGTGGCATTGGGAGCTGCAGTGTCACACAGTACACCCTTTTATCCAATCAACCCCACCCACAAATGTTTGTTGCCAGGAGTTCTTGGTCTGGTTCAAGGCCTCTGGCCTCTGGCACACCATCATTACTGGACCCTCACTGAAACTCCTTTTGGATATCATGTTGAGTCATGGGGATCCTACCACCATTATTCCGTAGGATCAGTCCCTTCATGTATTACAGCAGGTCATAGATAGGGTAGATGTTAGGGTGGGCCAACCCAAGGCCCAGGATGTGGGTCTGGGTGGTAACTGAGCTGGTTAGTCTCAGCCAATGGGACCACTCCCCTCAGGTGAGGAGTGGAGCCATCTCTCCTAGGCCCATTCCATCAGGGCCAGCTCTCCTAGGCCCATTCCATCAGGGCCAGCTCTCTCAGGCCCATGGTGAGAGATGGGGCCATCTCTTACGAGTGCCCGGGTTGGGGGGAGATGCTGGGGGGGCAGCTCTCCCATGAGGGGCAGGGCCAGCTCTCCTGCTGCAGTGTCCAGTGAGGGGCTGAGCCAGCTATCCCAGAGCCAGTGAAGGGCAGGGCTAGCTCAGGACAGCCCTCTGATTTCAACA